CGGGAATTCAAAACCGACATTACTTTTTCCTCAACCTAATATCTTTCAATGGGTGTAGATAATTATCATACAAAAATAGCACTTCTGATGTTTCAACGCCCAATTTCTTTAAAGCCTCGTTAACTCTCATCAACTGTTTTGAATACAGGGTGCGGCAAAAGTTCGGAGCCGCTAAGAAAACATTGCAGAAAATTTAGCTCACGCTTTTTTTCCTTTTTTCGAGTATAGTTAAGGCGATTTGTTTCAAAAAATTTCTTTTTAGGAGAAAATTCGTAAGAATGAACGCCAAAAAACGACGCGATGTGATTCTCGGATTATACCAAGGCGGAAAAAATAGCCCGAAGATTGTAAAAATCACGAAATATCCAAAAAGCACCGTCAACAAAGCAATCAAACGCTACAAGATAAAGAACAACAAGGATCGCCCTCGAAGTGGTCGACCACCAAGGGTTGGATTGAGTTCAATGGCATCAAGCAAATCCTAATCTGAAATCTCTTGGGGTCGTCCAGACCGTTCCTCGTCTTGGGAATTTTTATTTTCATCTTTTAACCGCTGAAACCATATTTGGCATTGTCTTTTGCTAATGCTGTCTTCCCCAAAAACTTCAATGATTGTCCCATGCGGTTCAGCCGCGGATTTTCCTTGTTTAAAATAATACCACAAAGCGGCTCGAAGTCGAAACTTTTCGTCTTGCATTTTGTACCTGAAAATATTATTAAATTTGTACAAATTCGTCAAAGTCAAATATAATATCAAAGTATAGAGTGTCTAGCTGAAATATATTTTTAAAAAATCGCATAAGAAATAACTGGAAAATCGCCAACAACGGGAATTCAAAACCGACATTACTTTTTCCTCAACCTAATATCTTTCAATGGGTGTAGATAAAGCAATTGAAAAAGTCAGGGCTTTTCCAGAATCCAGGATGAAAAGATGAAAGGGTAATGTTCTGTGGGGATCAAGTGATGAGGGAGGATCTGGGATACTAGCAACTCACTGCTATCTTCCTTCAAGCTCACATTCCGCTTGTTGAGAAGAAAGTATTTGGGGAGTAGTGCGAAATGCTTGTCTTTCATCATTCAAATTAAAATGTTCCATGATTTGTGTCCCGGCAAAATGTTTGCCTCTTTGAGAAAAACATCTGATTTGTACTTGTTTCTTGGGTAAGATTCGAAACTATTCGCTAATTAGATAAATTTAATTAAAGATAACCTTATTGGTTACTCTATCGGTGTAACATTATAATTTCCTTAAAAAGTGTGAACTTGCACTACAGTACGATGTTACAGACAGATACTAGCAACTCACTGCTATCTTCCTTCAAGCTCACATTCCGCCTTTGGAGAAGAAAGTATCTGGAGAGAGGTGCGAAATTCTCTCACGTTTCCATTCTTTTTCCCTCCTTTCCATCGAGTTTGTGTACTTTTGTTGCACGAACGCAAGAGCGTTTACAGAGAAAAATTTTGGGGCGCATCCCGTCGAATCTCGGGGGTGCCGAAGTGACGCTGTTCAACGCGAAGATCGAGGAGAAGAACGGTCAGATTGTGGCATTCGTATCACCGTTGATCGTGAAGTCGTAAGATTTATGGAGAATTGCTGAGCACTCTGTGAATATTTTTCTTTGAATTTATCAAAGAAAATCTTTCGTTGATGAAAGAAAATGTGTTGCTCTCAGTGTTTCACGAGAATTGGCAGAGTTTCGTGGATTGTGTGAAACTCTTCGTGAGGATCAATCTTTTAAATGAAAAACTTCGCATTGCTTTCTGTGGGAATCCAGCGAGGAGGGAGGATCTGAGATACTAGCAACTCACTGCTATCTTCCTTCAAGCTCACATTCCGCCTTTGGAGAAGAAAGTATCTGGAGAGAGGTGCGAAATTCTCTCACGTTTCCATTCTTTTTCCCTCCTTTCCATCGAGTTTGTGTACTCTTTATGTTTGGTTCATCTCCACCAAGAATCTATTCTTTTATAAAATGATCATTCTCAATGAATTCGTTTTCCTCAAAAGTGAAAATGATTTTAAAGCCACTTTTCAAATCCTCGTTTTCTTCAACCTGAAAAATGAATCGATTTTTTTGTTTCAAGAAATTTCAGGGAAGTTTTGTTGTACCAGCGAAACATTGTGGTCCGGCTACGAAAAGTTTCAGATTCTCCACTCGGCTCCAACATGGCAATAGATTTTTTCTCATTTCAAAGAGAAACACAAAATTTATTGCCTAAAACAATAATAAATTCAATGATAAATATAAATAATAGTAAATGAAAATAATAAATTCAATTAATCTGAAAAAATAAGACAACAAAAACTAAAAAATGAAAAAGAGACGACGACGCGACGCTCCCATCAACTACCTCCAAATGGCGGCGACGTCAATTGGAATGCGAGTCGCGCGAGAAAGAACATTTAACAATAAGATAAAATTAAACTTAAAATTTGCGACGGAAAATTCAAATTTAACATGAAAATTCAAATTTAACATTAACAAATTTAACATCTCGAAATCATTCTTTACTTTTATTTCTTTAAAGTTTCCCGTTTGGAGATGTACAAAACATTTTACAAGCCATTGAATAGGGCTAAATGAATAGCGCGCCTGGCTAAATCACGGGCACATCAAGTTAAAGAGCAAAATGATCAAGACCAAGCAGGTGTCCCTTAGCTCCGGGAACTGGCTGAGATCCAGAAAATGGGGGGTTCAGCCCAAACCCAAATAGACTTAGTGCGAGGCGCTAGCCGCTAGCCTTCACACTAAGTCCAAGCCTAAGCCAAGCCTAATCCTGAGCCAAGCCAAAGCCAAGCCAAAGCCAAGCCTAAGCCCTAAGCCTAATCCAAGCCAAGCCTAAGCCAACTCACCCTTTGCAAATAGCGATGCAATGGTCTCGCTGCACAGCCAATGATCACCAAAATGACAATTCCGCCGACCACCACTCCTCAGATCCATTTCTTGCTTTTTTGCGGCACCTGGGGATTGAGCACAAAATGGTACTCTAAGGAAAGAGATAGCAGAAAAGCCTTTGATTTACGACTGGCCATAATAAACCAATAAGCCATTGTCATTGCTTTTGGCAGATTAGAACAAGGCTAGATTAGGGCCAGAAACAGGTATCAATGGACAGATAAGGTCGCTCAGGCAGACCAGAGTCTGGCCTGGCCTTCGCCGCTGGGGCTCGGATTCGACCAGACCAACCAGACGTGGCATTCGAGCTGGCTCTAGACCCGGAACTTTAGAATCCGGTGGTCAATTTCCTATTCCAAAACCTTGAACACACCCGTTTCCGCCTGTCTGGAAACTGGCGCAAAAGTGGGCAATGGTTGCGGTGTGCACAAGCCATAATTCGTGCTCACTGCCTCGTTGTTTTGTAAAGAGAAACGACTTCAAGAAAAACTTGCATATGAGATGTAGTTCTCCGTCGCGTTTCTGATGTTGTTCATCGCCTTTTCGACTGTATTGCTGTTGAGCTCGATTCTCTAGATTGATCGAGGTTATTTTGAAACTTGTGGCTTCTGGTCTACTAGGATTTGGTTACCTATAGACTACTCTAGCTGTAACCAGCTTTAGCTCTATCAATAGTCAACTTATGAGTCAGCTCAGGAGGGTTTGGTCAAACAATAGTCAGCTCTGACCAAACTTGGGCTGACGTCTGGCCTTGGAAATCTCTCTAATGAATACCGATGGCTCGGCGTTGAAGATCACTTAGATGACGATGAAATCCTCGTCGACAACTCTTTTTATCAAATTTCCCAACCAATTAATATCGTATTTTCCTTTGAGAGGCGTCAATACTGAAAATTTAAAAGTTTATTTAAATTGAAACTCACAGTTACTACTCGAGATCTTGAGTACAAGCAGTAGAACTGACTGCACATTTTTCATTGAATGATGGCAAGTTTCCGGGAAATTCGATCGGGAGTCGATAAAATGCTCAAGAGCCGTTGCTAGGGTTGTGCTAGATTGATATATTATTGCCAAGCTGGCTTGGCAATAAGCTCAGCCAAGCTTAACTTATCATTCTTGGGCCAATAGACCAACCGATAGATCAGCCATTATCGAAAGCCAATCAGCTCACTTGGATCTCAAAGCGTTGACGCTACGAACGTTGATGTATTGTTTGAAAGGCGTCACATCGCAACCCGTTGCACCAAGGGTAAAGAAATGGCTGAAAAAGGATCGGTTAGATTCCTTGAAGCCAGCTTCTGGTTGCAAGGCCTGGCCTTATCTAATCACTATTGATATTGATCTTTATTGATCTAGCGATAATAATCTTTATTGATCACTAAACGGTGAGGCTTATGCCAAATTTTGGCTCCTATAATGTTAAATTACCCCTTCTACACTAGCTAGACCCTAGCTTTAAAGTCAAAATGTAAAACAAAGAAGTAAATTTTCGCCGACCGCAGCTCCAACACCCGAGCGGGGCTTTAAATTCTGCCGATAAACTTCACCTTACCTACGAATATGTGCACAAAAGCGTATTTCGTGGGTGAAGTGCTAACAAGCACAATGGAAAACAGCTTTTTGAAAAGTGAAATATGTTTTTGTGCACATTCTACCGTAAACCTCTTGATGGCGCGTTCTAAAACGTGCGCCTTTCGTATATTTAACGGAACTTTTTGCCATAAATTTCATTCTTTGCAATTGGTTCAGCAGGTGTATGTACCGTAAATACTGTGATAGTACCCCACCGGCCTCTAGTGCGTGCCACATGGGCGGGGTACTCTTACAGTGTTTACAGGAGCTAGTAATAGTATTTTGTTCGGGGACTTTTCCTTTTATTAATTACGATGTTATCTCTGCTGTAATTTTTCATTTAGTGGAGATGTCGGAAAGTCAAGAGAGCAGCAAGACTCAACCCCAAGATTCAACTCCGGAGCACCAACCATTGTTCCAAAACGACTTCTTGGTACAATTGCCAAAGGAGGTTTGTTAAAGCCTGTGGGAGTAATTGTTTAATGTTAGATTGATTATCGCATCATCGCCCATTTGACACCGCGCGATTTGATGACATGTGCGGGCGTTTCGCGGACGTGGCAACGGATTTGTGAAGATGATCAGACGTGGCGACAGAAATGTTTCGAGAACGGATATGTGGAACTTGATGCGCCAAGGTTTGTTACAGTTTTGAGCCGATAACATAACAATTAAAAGTACATATCTGATAGATTTATATTAAGCTAGATTTTAAGACTTGTAAAATATAGGACAATAATGTTATTAATTCCAAAGCAAACAATGATGTAAACCGAGAGAAAACATATGATAATGTTTGTTTAGATGAACTGTTTCATGTTTAGGAAATCGATTGTAAAAAGACTCGTCTTAAATTTGTTTCTTTAGTTTTCGTTTTCTCGGAGGTTGGGCGGCGAATCGAGCAAATGAGCAATGGGGAATCACAATCTGTTCACATATGGATCTTCAAGAAGCACAGCAGAATCGACAAGCGCGCGAGATCGCATATGGACAGTTAATGACCTAACTTGTTGCAAAATGAAGTTTTTTCTAGATGTTATGAGCGTTCGCCGTGGAAGTCGCTGTACTTGCGAAAGAAGCGAATCATTTCGAATTGGCGATCCCGAGCGTTTCAATCAAGCGCTGTTCTAGAGGTTTGAATAAATGGTTTGACCGAAAAAATGGTTTCAAGGATGACTTTGATTACGCCATTCCTATACAAATTCGCCCTGGTCTTATCATTACTGGTTCTCGTGATGATACGTTGCGGGTCTGGAATGTTGAAGATGCTCAAGTTTATTTTGTTTAATTGTTATTGTACGCCCGAATTTAGCCTGCTTTTACTCTAACTGGTTATAAGAGTAACCCTTGGTCGCATCAAGTGAGCGAAGATCGCAAATACATTGTCTGGTTAGTTAATAGATTATAGCTAGTGCAGTTCATCAGAGTTGCCAATGAAGCAAAAAAGATTCAAACAAAAATTCTTATGACAACAAATTCTATTGTAATATTTCAGTGGCGGGCAGGATGAGACGGTGCGCGTTTGGTGTGGTCAAACCGGTGCACAGCTTCATGTTTTGCAGGGACATACGGATGCGATTTCATGCTTGAGTCTACATGGCACAACGTGAGTGATCTGAATTTTCTGCTTTAGTAAAGATCATAATGTTTTAGTCTTGTTTCTGGATCGTGGGATGAAACGCTCCGTGTCTGGGACATTGTGGAGGGGAAATGCCTTCACATTTTGGCTCTCGATGCTAGGGCATGTGTATCAAAGTTTTAGCTTAAACTAAATTTCAGGTGAGTTTTGTGAAATTTGATGGAGAGCGGGTTGTATCTAGTGGCGGTGATTATACCGTAAACGTTTGTACAGTTACTAGTGCAATCTATAATATTCTATTAGGTTTGGCGTGTACACACGGGGGAGTGCTTGCACATGTTAAGGGGTCACACGGATATAATCCTTTCACTTTTGGTAAGCTGAATTTTCAAATTTTGACTTTAATCTCGATTCTGCTTTAGTTTGAGTCACAGCGTGATCTTGTCGTGTCGGGTAGTCGTGACGGAACGATTCGCGTCTGGGATGTGCAAAGAGGAAGTGGCTTTTACTTGTTGAATATTCTGTTACAATGTCTATATTTGTTTCTTTCAGCATGCATCGCACATCTTGACTTTCTTCAAGGGTTAAGGTTCGAAGGTTATCGGAACTTTGGGATGCAGCTTCGCGGAAACATTTTGGCCTGCTATTACGACTCGGAAGTTTGGGTATGTTTAATCAATCCTATGAAAACTACTTCCATTTCTTTAGGTTTGGGACATTCGTGAGGGTGGCTCATGCCTTCACCACTTACATGGCCGAAATGGTCATACGTCGAACATCACTTCATTGCAATTGCTCGACTCCGGACTTTTGGTGACAGGTTCGAGGAATGGCTCGGTGAAGCTGTGGGATGTGGACAAAGGTATGCTGTTTTAAATTACCTATAGGACTATAGGACACAAAGTCCAGACGATAGGCTATAAAATCCGGACTTCAAGTTTTTATCTACACTCGAGTTTATAACTACATAACATGATTGATTGACGATTCAGGCTTAAAAATATGTTGATAGTTAGTATTCAGTTGTTAATTTTTTATCAACTACGCGAGAATTTTCATTTTCAGGTATCTTTGTTCGTGATCTCATTCGTCTTCCATTGGTTGACTATCGCTGTTATGATTGGAATCTCGAAGCCTCTGAAACATTACTCGTCTGTGTAATTCGAGTTTGGGAACGCCTATGGGGATACGAGGCAAAGATCATCTTGATCGATTTTGACGCATCATATCCATAGGTATATTTGTATTTTTGCTCTTTGCCTTATTGTTATTTTCCGAAGAATTCTGTTGGTATATCCATTCCTCTGAGCTTTCATTGCTAGTCATTTCCTTTCAATGATAACCCACATTTTATATACTTGTCTCTTAATTTTGTGGAGCTTCAGTCCGTATCGAGTCCTGTGATTCTTTATTTGCTCGATTTTTCAAGATTCAAGAATCTATATCTCACCGGTTTAAATCTAAATAAAATGCATAAGCAACTGATATTGGCAAAAAAGCAACCCAGGTCAACTGCCAGGCTCCTTCAATGAATACGATTCCGCAGATGAAAATTTTCACTCCGACAAAAGCTCTGGCTTTCGGCCTACAGTTTTCAAATGTACGGTGTGCTTTTTGACTTTTGATTGTTCACAGGTTTCAATTAACAGAATCTTGCTTACCATTTTGTTACACGAAACTCTAACAAGGGAAGTGCACCCACTTAAGGTGAGCTTTTGGATCGAGATCCAACCAATTCTTTTTATTTTGGTCTTTCAACACTTAACTTTGTTTTATTTTTATATTTCACGTGGTATCATACTGAATTTTAAAATAGAATTCTATAAATAAGAATTCTAGAATAGAATCTCTTTCTGCTTTCCTAAAAGAAATCGCCAGCAAAGATTGTGCAGAAAATAGGTGTTGTGAAAGAGTTTTATTCTGTCCTTTTTGGTGGAAGGTAACAACAGTTTTGTTTGTTACTTCACTTTTTATAATCAATGTTGAGCTGTGAATGTTCAATCTTTTTCATAAACCTCAATACAAAAAATTCATTGTGATACTTCCTGAAATCGACAACTAAAACAATTTTAAGTGTTGGATGGTCAAATAAAAAGAAAAACAAAGGATGGAATTGAACTCAAGCAAAAATGAAGAAATCTTGTCGTACATAAGCCTTAATTGAGTGCACTTGCTCCCTTGCTAGTTTACCCTGTTTCTTCGTATTTGTGAGCCAGTTTTTAGCGTTTTAACGTGTATGTGTAAGTTGTGTAACAAACACCACTTACACAGTTTAAATATATTTCATTTAAAAAGCGTTAAAAAATATTGAATGTTTACAGCAACCAACGAAACATGCAAAACTCAGAGCAAAAACATAAGGGTTAGGTCCTTTATGCCATTTGAGATAGCGAAAAAGGACTTTGTTTGGCGTAAAGTTAAAGGAAGGGCATTTCAAAGTTTATCTGTACGAAGTTTAAAAGACCCTGATCTTGCATTTGACAGAAATTTGGACCTAGTAAGATGAAAAGGGCCTCTCCTGAAAACTGAACGCTGTTCGAAGGAAAAGAAATAAAATGGGGCCAGATTGGTCGGAATCGCCAGTTGCCCAAAGTTCGTATTGATTCGCGGCGATTATTAGAACATTCTCATCGTTTTGAAATTGCTTCGGGATGCGAATGATGTCCCTGGAAATTGTTCAGAATGATCAATTGCAGAATCAAGTATGTTTTGGGAGTCACGAGTGATTGTTGAAGTCCGTGATCTGTCGACGAGCAACGATTTGAAAGATGTGCGTAAAATTTTCCGATCGATCTTTGTCTAGCTCCTAAGAATTACGATCTGTTGGACTTAATCTGTGATTTTCTCCTTCTCTTTCTCTTCTCCCCTTTTTTCTTCAGACAATGATGCCCCTTTGTGATGACACGAGAATCGGTGATAAGCAAGAGAATTTGCGACTTGCACTCATAAATTTTCACTTCCAATCACTCATAAATTCTATCGACTTGTTTACGCATCCTGAAAAAAAACTGAAAATTATCCCTTTTCGGATTTCTTTCTCGAAAAATGCCAAAAAATTCCCCTTGACAATAAATCCCAAAGCAACTCCTCAACTTTTGCCCATTTTGCCCATTTCTTCTTTGTGGTTTTGACTCTTCCCCGATTTTCAAGGGCAATATTTCATTCCCAAGCAGTTTCGAGTTGAGAAATGACCTTTTCTGTTTCTTTTTCCTATCCAAATCAAGATCAACCTCGAGAAACGTTTTTGCTTAAAGAATTTCCCAATTTTTTTAAACTTTTTACGAATTATGGATGTCATTGATTAAGAAAATGTTAAGAACTAGAAATTTTTTGCGATTTTTAAAAATTCGAATTCTGGTAGGGAAGAGTTTGAACGATTTTCTGCGCTATCGATTCAAAAAGGTATCCTAAAGACTTTTGCACACTTGTTTTGGAGCGCACTTGAGCTGAAAAAGTGATTATTTTGATTTTGCGACAGTTTTTTTTTGGAGCCCCAGGGATGCCTGTTGTAGATCCAACAACAGATAACCACCCCACCCCTCCCCTGCCTCCATTTGCTTCAAAAATGATAAACCATTCCCCTTTCCCCCATCTAGTTCATCAAATTATGCCTCTTTTCGCTTTTTGGCCACCGATTCCACCCCGCACAATTGATGTGTTTATTATGCAGCGCCCCTTACCTTTCCCTTGCCAATTTCTGCCTGAAAATTGAGAAATTTTTCACCCACCGTTAACCATTTGTCTAGTTGGATGTCACAGTAGCTTTAAATTTAATTATTTACTTTTAAAGACGATTTTTGAAATTTTACCTTATCAAGGTTGAAAGAGAGCGAGAGATTTTCTTGAAAATGGTTGATTCTATCGAGAATTTGCATACTTTTTAGTGGATTCTGGAGCGCATTGGATAATCAGCGCTTGAAAAGAGCTTTAAAAAGAACTTTAGAAAGAACTCTAAAAAGAGAGGTTATTTTGTTGATTGATCGAGAGCGCCGACGACAGTTGTTTTGATTGAACGATCTCGAGAAGGGCCGATCCGAGATTCGATCGCTTCTTGGGTGTAAAAAAGTGTGCTGTCTTTTCGAAAAGTTAATCTAACTATTCCTAGTGACATTTGAATAGGGTTTTCTGTTTTTTTCGGCTAAATTCGATTGCTACTCGATGGCCGCTTTTCGCTTTTCAAACAATTCTCGATTTTGACAATATGCATAGAATCGTCAATCTTACCGTTTCCAAGTCTCTACCAATTCATTCAAAAATTCAGTCAAAGTCAATCAACCACTTCCCAGCTTCCTTTCTTCCTTTCTTCCTTTCTCTTCACTATTGGTGATTTCCCTGGGTGATTGATGTCTCCTTTGGGAAAATCGGGCGCGACTCCTAGCCTCTAAATTTTGACTCTATTGATATTTTTAGCCATTTACCCGCAAACCCTGACACTTCGGTTATTACCGATTTAGAGAGATTTATTGCTTTTCGGGGTTTTCCTTTACTGCAGAATTGTTGAAATCTTGATCCAACTCGATCCAACTCCAATCTTCATCCAATCTAACTCATTCGCTATTGAAGTCTTGTTGCCGTTGCTCGCTTTTATATCCTAGTCTCAGCTCTTTCGTCAGATTAAGATCACGGTCTAAGAAAATAACTAGCCGAACTATTGGAGAAATGTCGGATATTAAAGCAACCAAGAACAATCAAGAACCTGGACTGAGAACTTCTCCCTTAGTCAGCATATTCCTCAGATCTAACATCAGATTACCATTTATTTTGATCAATGGAAAATGCCCTAGAGCACTTTGAAGATGAAAAAGATGCCAAAAAATGGGTACAAAATTAGTAAAGACTTTAGTAGATTCAAAAACGAAGATTTTTAATTCAAAGATTCAAAGATTGAGGCGAGAAGAATTCGCCCTCTACTAGGTAAAATAGGGGAAAGTTTCTTTCTAAAATAGGGAAAAGAAAAAGATGAAAACTATTTTTTATTGATTCAAGGTCGCTTTATTGAGAAAAGATTTCTTTTTGAAATTGACTATTTATATATATGTGCTTTATTCAGTTGAATAGCGACAAACAAAATCACAATAATTACCCGGGACACCACTCAAAACACACCCAAAAGATAAATGGATACCTCAAGCAAGAATCACAGAGCAGTCAAATCAATTGCCGAAATTGCGGCTTTAAATCTAGCCAAGGTGGAAATATCACGAACATGAGGGGGTAAAATGTTCCAGAATTTAATAACTCGATTAAAAAAGAAACTGTGGGGGCTTTTAGAGGAAACGGAAGGCTGGCGTATGAGAAAAGGCCCCCTTCTGGAGGCGCCCCGTAGAGAGCCGAATTCAAAGAGACCAGAAAAAAGGGGTGGGGATGAATTGGACTATTGGCCAACCGAATAGTTTATGGCTTAATCTAGCTGTCTGTACCTGTACCCGTTCTCGGTTTTAGCTTAAAAAGCTTAGAAAGTTCCAAAATATAGACTTAAACAAGCTATTGGAGAGTTGAGAACGATTTAGGGAACGTTTTTTGAAAGCAGTTTAGATTAGGGAGCCACTGTAGCTTCTTTCAAATTCTTCTTTAAACAAAAACTTCTGGAATCTGACCGCCGATTTTCTTTGATCAGCTTAATTTTAGTCACTTTTGACAAAGGAACAAAGACAATTTGACCAATTGGGCTCAAAATTGAGTTAATCGAATGAAAACTGGCAACGAAACTACGGTTTATCAGAAAATTTGCAATTTAGATTCGAGAATTGACTCTGCCATTCAATTATAGAAGCCTTTTTCTCGATTCCTTCAATTTTTTTTTCCCAATTTTTCATCGCCGCCTCTTTTTCTTGACTTGAAAATCCCTGGCGATTTGCTGAAAAGTCCGTTTGTCCGTCAAAATGTCCGTTTCTTTCAGCTAAAAACTCGAAGAAAACTATTTATTTGCTTTTTTCGCTATTTTTCCTCCATTTTCAACTTTCAGATATGTAAAACAACTGCAAAATGTTGGAAAAATGGGCAAAGAAATCATTTTTCTGATTATTCTTGTTTCCCTACTGGCGATCAACTATCGAAAACATCTCTGGAAAGTCGCTTTGTGGCTGGAGGATGAGTATTTCCCGTTGGAAGGTCGGTTTTCAGATTTTAGGTTTCAGATTCCCTAGTGTACCCTAAATTGCTCGAAATCTCGAAAAGCCCTTATCAGAATCTATCGATGTGGGGTTGAAAAACGTAGCTGACGATGAGATCT